GACCAGTAGAGGGCGGGAGACCAAGAACCTGCTGAAGGAGTGGAACGTAGTACGGCCTCGGCCGCTCAGCACCTCCAGCTCCAACCCCCTCAGCAGGCTCAGTCCCAGCAGCTCCAGAACCTCCAGTACGAGCACCTCCAGGACTAGCAGCTCCAGTAGCTCCAGCAGCACCCGCAGCTCCAGCACCAGCAGCACCTCCAGCAACGTCAGTAGCACCAGTACCTCCAGCAGCACCAGTACCAGCAGCACCTCCAGCAGCGCCAGCAGCACCGCTAGCAGCAGCAGCACCTCCAGCAGCTCTAGTAGCTCTAGCACCAGCAGCACCTCTAGCAGTGTCAGCAGCACCAGCACCTCCAGCAGCACCAGCACCAGTAGCACCTCCAGCAGCGCCCGCACCAGCAGCACCTCCAGCAGCGCCAGCAGTACCGCCAGCAGCAGCAGCACCTCCAGTAGCTCCAGTAGCTCCAGCACCAGCAGCACCTCCAGCAGCGTCAGCAGCACCAGCACCTCCAGCAGCACCAGCACCAGTAGCACCTCCAGCAGCACCAGGGTCCGCGACGCGAGGAGCGCCACTCCGGAGACTGCAGTGCCGAGCGTACCACTCTCGGAGCTGCTGGGGAGAGGGCAGCGCCCGCCTAGGAGGGGAAGCACTAGCACCAGCTCCAGCAGCGCTCCTAGCTCCAGAAGCACCCCTCCTGAGGCTGCAGTACTGGAAGTACCACTCACGCAGATGCTCTGAGAAGAGAGCTCCTCCAGGTGTAGCACTCCCAGGCTCAGCACCCCCAGACTCAGCACCCCCAGACTCAGTACCCGCAGGCTCCACACCCCTAGGCTCAGCACCCCCAGACTCCGCAACCCCAGGCTCCGCACGCTCAGGCTCAGCACCCCTAGCAGGACGAGAGTCGACAGCTACCTCGACAGGCTCAATCGGGTCTACCTGGGACACACCTGAGGGAGCGGCACCCTGAGGGTGGAGGGGGTCTACCACAGCATCACCTGGCGCGAGGAAGAGAGGCGGGGGGGGGGAGCGGGGCAGCGCGGTAGGGGAAGAGGCGGTAGTAGGGCACCGACTCGTCAAAAGTGACGTCCTGAGAGGGCAGGACACGGTGCGAGGTGGCGTGGTAAAACTGCCAACCAGACGCGTCCGGGACAAAGCCAAGGAAGACACAAGGAACAGCGCGGGAGGAGAGCTTGTCCGCAGACGTATTGCGGACAAAAGCTCGAGATCCCCAGACCCGAAAACGCGACGCATCGCCAACCTCCCCCGTCCACAGCAGTGTGGGTGAGGTCTTCGGCAAGGAGACACGGGGCCAGAGGTTGAGCTGATGCGCAGCGTATCGGACCGCAAACGGCCACAGGAAGTGGGGGGCAGCCGCATGAATCAAGGAGGTACGAGCGACCTCCATGACCAAGCCAATGCGGCGCTCAGCAACCCCATTCTGCTGTGGAGAGGCCGGAAGCGTGAACGACTGCTCAATGCCGTGCTCCGCACAGTAGGCTCCCAAGAGGTCGGAGGAGAACTCACCACCTCTGTCAGAGTGCAGACGCAAGACAGGAAAGTCCGAGTGGAACCGCTAGCTGAGCTGGAGACGAGAAGCGCGGATCCAAGGGATCAAAACAGCAGGGACCTCACCCTTGGTGCGCAAGGGGAAGACCGTGGTGTAGCGCGAGTAGTCGTCAACAACGATCAGGAAGTACCTCTCCTGACCCTGTCCACGGACGCGGGCTCGGCCCCACACGTCCATGTGGAGCGTCTGCAAGGGAGCAGTCGTCGGGGGAAACGAGGAGGAGTGAGGAGCGGCGCGCTGCCGCCCCTCGACACAAGGAAGACAGGGAGGAGCAGGCGAGGGTGGGAGGGGAGGGAGTACCCAGGGAAGACCAGAGACAAGGTACCGTTTGTGCATGGCACGAAGGCGCTGCACTGACGGGTGACCAAGGCGGTGGTGCCAGAGGACAGTCTCGTGCGCCAGAGAGCGACACGAGCAGGGGGCAGACAGCTGACCTGACGCAGACGCAGACGCAGCTACCTGAGGGGACTCAGTGGTCAGTGTGTACAGGTCCGACCCCGGCTGCCTAGTGAAGGTAGCCAGGTGACGGCCCGTCCGAGCACACGTGCAGTGTGTCACACGCTCGTAGGCAGGGGTGAACTGGTGGACACCCCCGTCCTGGAGGGCACAGCCTGCCACCAAGTTCGTAGAGAACGAGGGGAGGTGGAGACCTGACAGTGTGCCCGACGGAACCGCAGGACAAGGAAGGACAGTGGAGGAGGTCGCAATGACCGGACCCCCAGAGGGGTCAGCAAGGGAGACAGCAACTGGCCGAGCAAGCTGCTCAAGGGCAGTGCGGTCACGAAAGAAACAGCGAGAAGGTCCTGAGTCTAGAGTGAAGGTGTGCAGTGCCTCAGTGGACTCAGTACCTGGGGGGGCAGACTCACTAGCACCTGAGGCAGCAGACACGCAAGCACCTAGAGCAGCAGCCCCACCAGCACCTGGGGCAGCAGACACGCAAGCACCTAGAGCGGCAGCCTCACTGGTGCGAATGCCCGGGTCGGGCGGAACACGCCGGTACTGATCACCCTCTCCACTAGTAGACAACACATACATGGCAGTGAGAATAGCATCAAAGTCAAGAGCATAGACATCAATGTTCTTCTTGATCAGATCAAACCAGCGGGGCAGCTCAGTGGCAGTAGGGAACTGAGTGCGCCAAGCGTCGTCGAGGCGGGAGAAGCAGCGCTGCGTGGTGTGCGCCCTCCCACACGTCTGGCCAGTGCGGTCACCAATGCGGATGACGTACGTGCAGCTAAGGCCACCCCCCCCCCCCGTGCTGAGAGTACCACTCACGAAGCTCCTGGGGCGACGGAGTCTGCTGTCCGCCAGCGCCACCACGACCACCACCCCCGCCGCCACCACCTCGACCACCACCGCCCCTGCCTCCTCCGCGTCCACCGCCTCCCCAACCACCGCCCCCACCCCGGCCACCTCCTCCGCTGCTGCCGCCTCCACCCCCACCGCTGCCACTAGCCCCTCCAGCCCCGCCACCACCCCCACCGCCGCCACCGCCCCCACCCCCACCTCCCCCGCCGTCACCTCCACCTCCCTTGCCCCCTTTGCCCTTGCCGCTGCGGCGCCAGCTCGGAGCGGACGCAGTCCCGACCTGCTCAGTACTAACTAGGTCGACAGCAGCAGCAGAGGCGACAGAGGGGAGAAGGGGGGAAGGGGAACACCCCTCGAAGAAAGGGGTGCGGGGGTCGCCACGAGAGGCAGCTACAGCGACTATGCTAGTCTCTGCTGCAAGCAGTTCCTTCTCGAGCAGGTCTATGGTGAGCTCAGTGGGGGAGTGAGCGAGGAAGTGGTCCCTGACCGCACGAAGAGAGTCAGGGAGACGGGTGACAAGGTGGTAGAGAGTGAGCCAGAGCGGGGGGGGGGTGGGTGGCAAGAAACTCAGCGGGCATAGCGGCACGGAAGCGAGCCTCACTAGTGCAGAGGTGCGTGGTGAGGTCAGCGACTGTGGCGAAAGCGGACAGGTCTGGGAACAGGTAGGGAAGCGAGAGACGGCCTAGCGCAGCAGAGGCAGGTGAGGAGTAGCGTGCAACTACAGCAGTGTACAGTGCCTGCGCAGTTTTGTGCTGGCCAAAGTGCTCGCGCTCATCTACAGGCAGGGAGTTGCGAATAGCAAAGCGAGCGTGGGCGTCACGAGTCTGCCACTGGGAGCGGGCAGTACTGTCAGCAGTAACAGCAGGGGGAGTAGCGAGGCCTAGTGCGTGATCGTACAGCGAGATGTCCTCCTTGGCAGTGAGCTGGAGGAACAGGTGCAAGTTATCTAGCCAGGTGTCAAACTTCAGTGGGCGGCCCTCAGCATCGAAAGCGAGCACAGCAGGGCTAGCCATAGTTGCAGGAAGAGCAGTAGTAACAGCAGTAGTAGTAGCAGCAGCAGGAACAGTAGCAGCAGTAGCAGCAGGCGAAACCCTAAAAGCAGCAGGCAGCACGACTCAGGTAGGGCGGCTCGGTCCAGAGGGGGCTGCTCAGTACGGGGAGGGCGGCGCGGCTCGGTTCGGGCGGCGCGGCTCGGCTCGGGCTGGGCGGCTCGGTTCGGGCGGCTCGGTTCGGGCGGCTCGGTTCTGGCGGGGCCGTGGCTGTCGCGTGCGGGGCTGCCGGGGCTGCTAGGTGGGGCGCGCGCGGGGTTGACGGGGCTGACGGGGCCTCTAGGTGGGGCGCGTGCGGGGTCGACGGGGCCGAGAGGGGCCGCTAAGGGGCGGCGCGCGGGGTCGACGGGGCCGTAAGGGGCCGCTAAGGGGCGGCGCGCGGGGTCGACAGGGCTATAAGGGGCCGCTAAGGGGCTGCGCGCGGGGTCGACGGGGCCGTGAGGGGCCGCTAAGGGGCGGCGCGCGGGGTCGACGGGGCCGTCAGGGGCCGCTAAGGGGCGGCGCGCGGTGTCGACGGGGCCGTGAGGGGCCGCTAAGGGGCGGCGCGCGGGGTCGACGGGGCTGTAAGGGGCCGCTAAGGGGCAGCTCGCGGGGCCGACGGGGCCGCTAAGGGGCGGGTCGCGGGTCGCGGGGCCTTACAGGGCCGCTAAGGAGAGGCGCACGAGGGCGCTGGGGGGGAGGCGCTCGAGGGCGCTCCGACAGTAGGGCGCACGAGGGCGCTAGTAGGCAGTCAGTAGTGGTGGGCCCTAAGAAAAAACTCGGTCCTAGCGGAGGACCTGCTCTGAAACCATGTTAGAATGAAAGAAACAGGAATGAATGAACTAGCACAAAGTTGGGTACAAGTAGGAAACCCTAAGTTTGTGTACCCCCTAGGGCTAAACCCACTATAGCCTACACAATGTAAACATACAATGTTTGACACCAACCTGCGCAGAAGCTCCAGATATTGCATACTGCAGAGGGTCGGCTTCACCTCCCACACACCCGACCACAAGTCAGCTTTGCCCAAGCGAGGGCGAGGCCAACTCCCGTCAACAACGGGAACTACACGGACTTTTTCAGGGGTGCGAACAACTTACGACGAACTGGAGGAGGCGACAGCAACAAAGAAAGGGGGGGGAGAGACAGCTGCAATTTTTCATCCCTGCCCAGGAGCCCTCGGCGAATTACGACAGGCTGTTCGGCGAGTCTGGACAAACTTGCTGGAGAAGCTGACGTCATCCGACATCGAGAACGAGTTCGAGATTTTTGACAAGAGTGATTTTTGACCAGGTTACTTCTGCGACGACCATCGCCATCTCTCGTAGTTGAATTCGTATTCAATCGCCATCTTCGCTGACACTCGTAACACTCCCGATTTCACGGCCAGAGGATTTCGGGATACGACCACTCCAACTCTACAAGCGACAACATCGCAGCTCGCCTCCGCCGACGACAAACGAATTGATTTTCGACCTCGTCATGTGCTGCCAGCTGCAACTGCGGAAGGAACCACCGAAAGTTTTGGTGGTGTGACGACAAACTTTGACAGTTCGAGCAACGCAGATTTTCCGTCGCGGTTTCTGGGCTACTTCTTCTGGTTTGCCCTCGAAAATGTTCTAGGCACGTAACATCTGGTTTCGTCTCGACTTACCACACCGACGCTCTTTCGCCTCGGCATCACCGCCTCACGTTTTCTGAAGTATGACTTAACACCTGGTCATTGTTTGGATTTCATCTCGGCGTAGCTGCGTGGAATTTTGGTGTATTTCTTGGAGGGGGGGAGATAGTGCGCTGCACTATTTCCTTCCTTGGCGTTTTCTCGGCAATTTTTCTGACTTTGTGAGGATGCAGCAGCACGACGGATGACCGCGATTCCTTCATCGATATCTACGGCTCATGACCTTCGCGATTGAATTCTCGCGTCAGCAGCTTCCCTCCAACATCGCGTCATCGTCGACCGTCAGATCGACATCGGACTACATCTGCTGTCCACATTCCAACTTTCAGTTCGTTTTGGTCAAGGACGATCCCATCCGTCAGATCGAGATCGACAATCTTCAACGGCCCACATTCCAACCTTCAAACTCATTTGGGCCAGCCGCCAAATCAACATTTGACTTCATCAACGACCAACAATCCAAACTATTCCTTCAAATTGGTTGAAGACATTTCAGCCGTCGGATTTTCTTTGACTGAAAATCGACGCATCCTCGCTAGTGCAGTCTTCTTCTGCGTAAAAGACTGCCTTATTTGGAAGGTGGGAGAGTGTAAGGAATTACAATTCCTTACAGTCCTTGCACTTCAGCGAGTACATCTCGTGGGCCACGCGCCCATCACTTTCGGCCTATTTCGTCGCACCGAACCACTCCTGGGTCGGCCCCACTCCAATCGCAACATCACCGAGCCATCTTCGCCCGACCTCTTTGCCTAGCTATGATTCCCCTGATAAATTCCCGTCACTTTCATTGTATCGTCATTCAGTATTGTTGTTGTTATTCATTAATATGCGCACTTTGCAAGTTCATTCAACAAGATTTGTAGATCGTAACACAACAGAAGACTGGAACTCATGATGTTATGAGTTGCAAAACAGAGTTGCGCGGAATAACGAATAATGAGGCCCGGCGCGTCGCTCCTCGAGCGCCACTGCCCCACTGCCCTGCGCGCCGCGTGCCACTGCCCCGCTGCCCCGCGCGTCGCGCGCCACTGCCCTGCTGCCCCTCGCGTCGAGCGCGCCCTACTGCCCTGCGCGCCTCGCGCGCCCTGCTGCCCCGCGCCCCGCGTGCCCTGCTGCCTCGCGAGCCCCGCGCGCCCTGCTGCCCTGCGCGCCCCGCGCGCCCTGCTGCCCCACGCGTCGCGCGCGCCCTGCTGCCGTGCGCGCCGCGCGTGCCCCGTGCTCGCCCCGCGGGCCCTGCTGCCCCACGCGCCCCGCGCGCCCTGCTGCCCTGCGCGCCCCACGCGCCATGCTGCCCCGCGCCCCGCGCGCCCTTCTGCTCCGCGAGCCCCGCGCACCCTGCTGCCCCGCGTGCCCCGCGCGCCCTGCTGCCCTGTGCCCTGCACGCCCTGCTGCCCGGCGCACCCCTCGCGCCCTGCTGCCCTGCGCACCCCCCGCCCTGCTACCTCACGCTCTCCGCGCGCCCTGCTGCCACACGCGCGCTGCTGCTCGTGCAGCCTGCACCGCACGCTGCGGACCATACGGCCCGCGCCGTTTGCGCTACCTACGCGCTGCCGCCCACGCTACCTGCGCTTAAGTGGCTACTGCCCGCGTCGCCACACTGCTGCCAGCGCTTAGGGTGCTCCCGCTCGGGCTTCCTCGCACTGCCGCCCGCGCTTCAGCTTGCATTCAGGGTGCTTCCGCCCACGTCGGAGACCTCGCTTACCCTGCTGTGGATGGGGAAGGTTGGCAATGCGTCGGCGTTTCAGGTCTGGGGATCGCTTGCCCTTGTCCGCGATCCTCCCGCGGGCAAGCTCTCTCCTCGCACTGTTCGTTGGGTCTTCCTTGGCTTTCCCACCGACGCCCCGCCCTGGCAGTTTTACCACCCTGCCATGGGCCGTGTCCTGTCCTCCCAGGACGTTACCTTTGACGAGTCGGTCTGCTACTACCGTCTCTTCCCCCACGCATCGTCTCCTGTCCCCCAGCCGCCCCTCTTCCTGGTTCCAGGTTATCCCCCGGTAGACCCTTCCCCCCTGACACGTCCTGCTCCCTCGGGTGTGTCTCAGGTCGCACCACCCCCCTTGGTTGGGCCTTTGAAGGTCTCCTCAGACCCCCCTATCCCAGCTGAGGGGAGTGACCCTGCTGCTGAGGACAAAGCGGCCTCCCGCCGCACACTGCATTTGGAGACTCCTCCTGGTTTTCCGACTCGGCCGTCTTCACCGCCCCTGCAGCCTGTCGCTGTGGACTTTGGTGCTGTTGGGGGTGGTGACGCTGGAGTGTAGTTCCTGGGTGTGGTGACACTGAAGGTGCGAGTTCTGGGGGTGCTGGTTCTGGGGGAGCTGGCTCTGGGGGTGATGAGTGTACCAGTGGTGGTGGATTCGAGGGTGCTACTGCTGGAGGATTTGCGGGTGCGTTGCAGCCTCTGCAGTGGCCCTTGTTCTGGGAGCAGCAGCCGGCGTTGCTGCCACTTCTTGGGTCTGTTGCTGGAGGTTCTGGGGGTGCTGGAGCTGGAGGCACTGGAGGTGCTGGAGCTGGAGGTGCTGGAGGTTCTGGTGCTGGAGGTATTGGAGCTGGAGGTCCTGGAGGTTCTGGTGCTAGCAGTGCTGAAGGTGCTGGTGCTGGAGGTGCTGGAGGTGCTGGAGGTGCTGGAGGTACAAGAGCTGGAGGTACTGGAGGTTCTGGTGCTGGAGGTGCTGGAGTTGGAGGTACTCGAGGTACTGGAGGTGCTAGAGCTGGTGATGGAGGTTCTAGAGGTACTGGAGGTTCTGGAGCTGGAGGTTTTGGAGCTGGGGTTGCTGTGCAGCCGCGGCCTCGGTGACCATTCTTTTGGTCACAGCCGTAGTCGGCGCCACCACCTCCTGGCTTGGCCCTTCGCCAAGTTCTCAGTCTTCCGTCTTCTACTGGTCTTCCTACTTCTCTACTGTGTCCACCGCCTGACCAGTCCCAGCCACTGTTACAGCCTGACTCCCCACTGCTCCTTCTCCTTACACTAAGTCCACAGACTTCCTGACTGAGCGTCGAGAGCCTGCGTCACGTCCTGCCACCTCTCCCTGGCACTCACATTATGGCACTTCGTCCTTCCTCTGTTGCACAGCGTCCTGTCCTGCCGTCTCCTCCAGCGTCCTCTCTTCCTGACGTTCCAGACCCTGAGTCTGAGTGTGCTCGTGCTGCTGGTCCGACTATCACTCGTTGTCGGGCCACACTTGTCACCGACCCTACTTTTGAGTCTGCTGCTGCGTCTGCCTTTGTCACTCAGCTAGTTGACTTTGCTGCTGCCTGTCGCCTTGACTACCTCGAGAGTCTTGTTTCTGACACTAACTGTCCTCCGTCCGTCGAGGGTGAGCTTGCCCTTGGCTGTGACGTCCTTGAGGACAGGCAGTTTGAGCTCGAGTGCTTCGCGGCTGCTGTACCTCATCTCGCTGCCATGCTGCTTCTCCTTGAGGGAGACCCGGATGCACTGGACATCCCGACCCCGCGCTCTTACGCAGAGGCAATCTCGGGTCAGTACTCCTCTCAATAGCAGATAGCCATGGATGCAGAGATGGCATCTTGGAAGTTCACAGGCACCTACGTCAACGCAGTTACCCCTCCTGGGGCGAACATAGTCCATGGCATGTGGATTTTCAGGGTGAAGCGGCCGTCGGATTCTCCGCCTGCTTTCAAGGCGCATTACGTTGCACGAGGATTCAGTCAGCGGCAGGGGGTTGAATTCGTCCAGACCTTCTCCCCCAACCCAAAGATGATCACTCTTCGGGTGTTACTGCACGTTCCATCATAGCGTGAATACGAGCTGTACTCCCTCGACTTCTCCACAACTTTCTTGCAGGGTAGCCTCCACGACAAGATCTGGGTGCGCCGCCCTCCTGGCTTCACTGGGTCGTTCCCTGAGGGTACCCAGTGGAGCCTCCGGCGGCCAGTCTACGGTCTCCGCCGAGCGCCCCGCGAGTGGCACGACACACTAAGCACAACACTTGCGGCTCTTGGTTTCGCTCGTTCTACTTCGGAACCGTCTCTGTTTCTGCGTTCCGACTCTACTTTGCCGCCGTTCTACGTCCTCATGTATGTCGATGCCTTGGTTTTATCTAATGCTGACACTGAGGCACTGGCCCTTGTGAAGGCGGAGCTGCAGAAGAGACACACATGCACTGACCTGGGTGAGCTGCGCAACTATCTTGGCTTGCAGATCACCCGGGACAGAGCAGCGCGACCATCACTCTGACTCAGTCACACATGGTGCAGCAGGTCCTTCAGCGCTTCCGCCTTCCGTTCCATCCGCCACAGCCCACTCCTCTGCCTACGGGCCACTCGCTCTCAGCTCCACCTTCGGACGAGTCCGTAGAGCCGAGTGATCCATATCCAGAGCTTGTGGGTTGCCTCATGTACCTGATGACTTGTACTCGGCCTGACCTCGCGTACCCTCTCAGCATCCTGGCCCGCTTTGTTGCTCCCGGTAGACACCGGAAGGAGCACTGGACAGCTGCGAAGATGGTGCTGCGCTACGTGGCTAGTACATCAGGCATGGGGCTTGTGCTTGGAGGACGGGGCCGAGTTGTTCTCACAGGCCACCCAGAGGCTTCTTCGGCCAACGACCAGTAGACTCAGCAGTCGTCAGAGGGTTACACTTTCAGTCTCGGCTTTGGTTCTGTCTCCTAGAGGTCCAGGCGCCTGTCTTTTGTTTTCAGCTCCAGTTGTGAGGCTGAGATCTACGTGGGGGCCATGGCTGCACAGGAGCTACGCTGGCTGACCTACCTGCTGACGGACTTGGGAGAGCGGCCTCGTTCTCCTCCGGTTTTGTACGTCGACAAGAAGGCCATGATTGCCTTGTGTGGGGAGCAGAGATTGGAGCACAAAACGAAGCACATTGCACTTCGTTACTTCCCCGCACAAGAGTTACAGCAGCATAATCAACTTCATATTGCTTACGTGGCCTCACAGGCCAACACTGCTGATATCTTCACCAAGGCCCTCGGGTCTGGTGATCATCAGCGTTTCTGCACTGCTCTTGGGCTTGTGCCCATTCTGTCTCACCTGCTTGTCTCTTGACCTCGCCTTGCACTTGTTGTACACTGTTAGATATATTTATACCTACATGTTTACACTTACTAGGTTGTTCTCAGTGTACTGCTTTTGCTATCATAACTCTGCATGTGAACTGGCCTTGTGGCCGCTTGCTTGTGCTCGAACTATGTGGTGATCTTGAGATCCACCCTGAGCGTTGCTTTGCTTCCCTTGACTGGTCTTGTGACTGTTTGTTGTTCTTGCTATCCCCCACCTCCCCTATGGGGGTGTGTCAAAATTTACATGTTTGTTATCTCTAGGCTGTAGTGGGGTACCCCATAGAGGGTACAACCCATTAGAGTTAGTACTTGTACCATCCTTCTCAATAGTCAATCATTCCGCTGTACTCTCTTTCTGACTGTTGTACACATAGTAGTCAACCCCGATCAAGGAAAAGTAAATCTCCTTACACTACCCCCCCCTTTAAGAAAGGTGGTCAATATCCGCAGCTTGCTGGGTGAGGTAATCACCAAGAAGCGGGGAAGCTTCAAGCGAGGCGGATGGCACCCAAGTGTCATCCTCACTGGTGCGGTCAGTTCAACCGACAAGAAAGTCCACATGGCGGCCAAAGGCGTGGAGCCGAACGCGATGCGCCAAAACTTTCGACGGGTCGAGTGTCGGTTCCGGGACAGGGTGACCTGTCGAGGCGGCGTTATGGCGGGCAATGTCCGTCGTTGCTGGCGCGAACTTGCGAAGGAGGTTACGTGGAAGGCATCGTGCACACGCCAGTCGTCAGGTAGCAGCAGCTTCGAGGTGACAGGTGTCACCATCTTCACGATGCGAAATCGCCCACAAAATCGTGGCTGTAGTTTGGACGAGCCGAGTAGGCGAAGATTATTCGTGTCGAGCAGCACTAGTTGCCCGGCTATCATGACAATTTCCCGTCGCAGAAGATCCGTGTATTTGCGGGCAGTTGTGTTAGCCGTGCGAATAGCGTCGGCTGCTTTTTTTCGCGGATCTCTTGGAGTTATGTCACAAACTGTTGTGACCTGGGGGCCGGGTTGTCAAGTGTAGTCGTGGTTGGCACAACCGGGTCCATCCCGTAATTCAGGAAAAACGGGGAGTACTTAGTCGTGCTGGATGGGGCGTTGTTGTACGCGAACTCCAGCATGGCGAGCGAATTTTCACTGCGAGCAGGGTCGGGGCAGTTTGTGCGGATGAGCTGCTCCATCGTCTGATTGGTCCGCTCGGTCCGGCCGTCGTTTTGCAGGTGGTAGGCCGACGAGAAATGTAGCTTCGTGCTGTACTGCGCTCACGTCTCTTTCCAAAAATTAAAAATGAACTTCGGGTCCCTGTCGTTGATGATCGCTGATGGGATGCCGTGCAGTCGCACAACGGTTGAGATGAAAAGGCGCGCATTATCTTTGGCTGTAATGGTCGTGCGACATGGTGCAAAATGCGCCATCTTTGTAAGGCAGTCGACGACGACGAGCACCACGTCGTTACCGGACGGACCAAATAGTAGCCCCGTGACGAAATCCAT